CCTCATGACTCAGCCTCTTTCCCCAAAGCCCCACCTCTGAGTGATGCTGTGCTGGGGATTAAATCTTCAACACATGAGCCTTTGGAGGACATTCCAGATGCAAACAGTAACAAGAGGTAGGAGGAGAAGTGAGCCATGGACAACAGATAGAACTGGCTGTGTATCTGTTACATTACCAACTCCAGGAGGTAGTTCCCAAAGAGCCAATTCCATTGGGTTTGGAAAAATCAAAAGATTTCCATGTGTTGTAGAGCAAATTCAAAGCCACTTTTGTGACACATGCTTGCCCACTAGTAAAGTACTGACACAGCTGTTGCCCATCAAAACAGATTAGTCAACATGGCCCAGACTGTGTGTGGTACCCACAGAAATCCCATGATGTCACTGCATCTCACAGATAGGGCCTCCACCACTGTCCTTTATCTCCGCCCAAAGAGCCTAACAGATGGCTCTTCAGTTAGGATGATCACTTTTTAAAATCCTTTTAGGAGGAAAAAAAAAATCCTTTTAGAACCATTTCATAATTTCCTTGTTTCCCCACTTCAAAGTTGAAACTGCTAGATAAATAATCTTTTACTATAGCACTATGTTCTGGGCACCTCCTCTGCAGCAGACATTACATTCAGCTGCTCACTTATCCTCATTTATTGTCACTTAATGAGACCAACTAGTCTCCTTTCTGCTGTTGTTCATTTGGGTTTTGTTTTGGGACAAGGTGTTCCCACATTGCCCAAGCTGACCTAGAATTCCTGGGCTCACGTGATCGCCCCAGTCTCCTTTTATAGCTGGGGAAACTGAGTCTCTGAGAAAACTTTTTTTTAATGTTTAAGCTCTTCTATTTGTGATTCAACTGGAAAATAATTCAAGTCCATTTGTTCTGTATCTGTTTTTGATTGATCATTTCATTGTCTCTCCCACAAGCTTCTCTCTTCGCCTTTTCCAGGTCCACAAATAGCCTTTAGCATCCCCCACCCACTTGTACTTTACCTCTCAGGAAGGCATCGTGCCTTTTTCTAAAAGAATCCAGTACACCAGGTGCCTCACTCCACCTTCCCTTACTATCTAATGAGCACCTTTCCAGAAAAGCAAAGACTATAGTTTAAGGCTCAAAAATATACCTGATGGGCTGGTGAGATGGCTCAGTGGTCTAAAGCACCTACTTAGAACAAGCTTAGCAAAGCACAGGGACCACGGTTCAACCCCCCAGCACCACATGCCAG